AGTTCTTGCCCCATCAGTGACTCAATAAACAAGGTATCTGTCTGCCTGTGAAGACGATGGAATGACTTGGGAAAAGAAAAGGAGAGTCTAGTTTAACAGAAGAAACACGAGAAGTCGTAGAACAGCATTTGCATCAATTTAGTACTGCAACAGCTCTCAGTTTTTCCCATGCCATCAGAAATGCATATTAGATTCTACAGCAGCAGAGACTCATTCCTTCGACTTTAATCAGAAAGTCCAACACACAAACTTTAACAGATATACATACTGCTGGGTTTACATGTGCAATTAGATAGGCTGGGACTGGTTGAAGAACATGTTATGAGTGAGCAAGAGGCAGTGAGGATGGAAGAGTTGCTGTGGGTAGTCACTCTCAAAGGATGAAGGAAAATTCAACTATGTGGTTAGCAAGGCACAGATGCAGAGATTGGGTTATCACAAGAAAGATGGTTCTATTCATACCCACAAAAACAGACATGCACCAACATTTCAGAGCCCTTGAGGTCATTTTGGGCCATGGCCAAGACTGAAGCAGTCTGCTCAGCTCATGTGCATCATCAGATTTCGGGATTTCAAGTGCACGATCTATTCAATGGTGGCCAGCCCCAAGGAGGGCTATGTTTGGCCACACTCACAGCAGTGCACTGCTTTGCACAGAATACATGCCACATGGACCTGTTATTGGCATGGGTGTTAGAGAGATGTTTAGAGCAGATGCTAAAACGTCAAGTAGTGCTTCCCTCCAGAAATGCAAAACATCATCAAGGGCTGAGGCAGTCACCTATGAGAATGAGTGTTCCGCAACTAACAGAGCACCATCATCGTCAACCTCTTTAACCCTTCACGCTGAGGGACCAGCTCTGCAGCAGGGCCTAGGGAGAGCAGCTACTCCTGCATTGAAGCCACGAGCCAGGACACCTCCACAAAGAGGACAACTAAACATCAGTTGCAAGTTGAGACAAGCCAGCAGGTTTCTCTCTTATTCATGGCTTTAAGGAAATACCACATAAAAGTGGCTAAGCAAGACTATGTGTGGGGGTAGCTGCGCATTGTGCATATCACTGGGATTTCCCTCACCTTGACTGGGCACATTTTCTCTTTCTGAACACGATGCAAATATTGACAAGACACCAGACACAAACTTTCATTTATGAAATGGGGAGAATGAAAAAGAGGGAAGAGGTGGCAAGGATCACTAACAAGGTAGGCAAAAACCTCTAGACAGATCTGTATCATTCATTAGTGGTAAGGTGAATTTATTAGCTTTACCGAAAATGGAAGTATTCTCCCAGGCAGCTCAAAACGTGTTCAGACCAGCCCATCCTTCTGGATTAGAAGGCCACAGCTGAATCACTCTTGGGATCCAGATAATTTCTGACATTAACAGAGTTTTGGTAAGGCTCTCGAGTTGCTCAATGGGCCCAGTCACCTCCCAGTGCAGCCAGGGCACTTGTGTTCTGTATCTTCCTCCTGCTGCCCCTTTCTTTCTTCTCTTCCATGTACTGCTCCTCCTTTCCCCTAATGAGCTCTGTCTTTCCAGTGCCTTAGCCTCTTCAATATTTAACCCTGTCTAGAGAGCTAAGTTATGGAGAGCACAACAGATTACCAAAGGAGAGCGAGCAGGGTGCCTCTCAACTGGTTGAGGTACCACAACTGTACCTTCAGAAAACTAATGGTCTGTTCCATGGTAATCTTAGTGAGTAGATGACTTCAGCTGTAGCACCGCCATTTCAGGGTCATTAAAAAGGGGTGAGTAGCCATCTCTTCAAAGGATAACTGTTTTCCTCTAGAGTTCATTCATTGATTTCAGGAGATGGAATGGAGCATTGCAGCACATGCACACCTGTAGGAAACTCTTCGTAATTGCAGGAATGGAAGGATGAAGTACAAACTTTCTTGCTGATGATTCCCATTAGATGGTCAGTCATGACTTGATGGCCAGTTGGACACAATTGATTGATACCCTGCTGCTGAGGGAATCCTCGATAGAGGTAAAATTCACTTCCTTTGTGTCAAACAGGTTGTACCTGTTTAATATTGTATGTAGTGTCTAGTTCTTGCATATAAAGCATCGGAGACCTGCAAGATGCCACAATAATCCACCACTGATCACTGGAAAGAGCCAGAGGTAAAGAAGCTCAAGGTCACAATAGATCTCATGACTACTGGTATGGCATGATGACCTGTGCTCAGATGTGCAATTTCTTCTGTCACAAAGATACAATAAGGGGAGGCAATGGCCTAGTGGTATTATCGCTGGACTGTTAATCCAGAGACCTAGATAATGTTCTGGGGACCCAGGTTCAAATCCCGCCATGGCAGATGGTGGAATTTGAATTCAATAAATATCTGGAATTATCAGTCTAATGATGACTGTGAATCCATTGTCAATTGTTGGAAAAACCCATCTGGTTCACTAATGCCTTTTAGGGAAGGAAACTACTATTCTTACCTGGTCTGGCCTACATGTGACTCCAGACCCACAGCAATGTGGTTGACTCTTAACTGCCCTCTGGGCAATAAATGCTGCCTAGCCAGCGACACCCTCATCCCGTGAATGAATAAAGAAAGAAAAAAAAAATTCAAGAATCAGTTGCTTGAATAGGTGCTGCTTCCTGTGGTACTGGTTCTCTGACGTGTTCAGGTAGTTCTGTCTTTGGTGATGGATTCTATGCTAAGGGTATGACCTCTGTTGCCTTCCTGCCCATTGTACCTCTCCTCCTCCCAGGGATCTGACTCTGCTGCTGCTGAGAATGTTGCTCCTCAAAGCCACTCAATCCAAGATTGGAGAGTTGCATTCCAATTATCTGCTGTCTTCCTCATGTGCTGAGCTGTCCTTCCAATACTATTTGGAAGCCTAACCCCCTAGTCTCCCTTCAACAGCGGCACACTGGACAGCACCTGCATGTCAAAGCTTCAGTGTTTCTCTCAGCCACGCTCTGTATTGGTCCACCAATGTTGACAGTGCGATATCTCTTGGCATTATTCTCTATCTGCATATAGCATCTCCTTGATGCACCCTATTAAAATGAAAAAAATAGCCCATAACAAGTTGGCAATGAGCATGTTAATATTATCCTCTTGTCTTAACTGGGCAGATTATCAGTTCCAGCCTTCCCTATCATGAGAAATATCTCAAAGCAGAATTGGTGATATGAACTGGTGCACAGGCCAGCAATGCTATTATTAATGCCTGCCAGCCTCATTTCTTCCTCCATCAGGACTTAAAAATTCAATGCAAACTTCTTCTCTCAAGTTCTTTGTCCCAGGGATCTAGAGACACTGACATTAGTGCATCAAGAAAATAACCCTTATTCTTCCCAAATCGTTCCTCCTTTCTTCTTTCTTTTCTCTCATTGAGCACTAGCCTGCTCACACTCCAGGAATAGTATATTTTAGGTCATCCTTTCTTGTCCTTTTTGTTCCTGAAGAACAGCCATTTCATTGTAAACAATGAAAGTCACCCTTCTGTGTATCAATTTAATATCATTTGCATTCTAGGCTTTCTCATCAGACTCTATATTTAACATACACTTGCACGGGATAATGTGAACAAGTAAAAGCACATCCAACTCAGTGTATTTCACAGTATAAACTGCATATCATCTAACATGGTATGTGCATATCTTGTGTTCTAAATTACCTCAGTTAATGGTCTTAAAGAAATATTGAGAATTTGCAAATGTAAAATTCTGGCAGACATGTAGTATTTTAAGATTATATGTTATACAAAATATTAATTTAGAATATCATTGGTAGGACGTATATCTTGAACTTTGAGAAAAAAAGAATTGTAAAGCATAGGAAATTAGGTGTAATAGCAAAAAAAATGTTGCATTTGTAAAAAACAGGGTGCTCGAATGGAGACAGAAAATGCAACACATAGAGATGACAACATGGCCCACTCTCTGGATGCAGAAAAATATTGGTTTTAAGAACAGAGAAAAATTGCTACAAGGGAAACAATCCTTGCCTTCTCTCTCTTTCTCCGAAATACCTCTCACCAATTTTGAGAGTCGAAAACTCACTGGGAGGCTTCATCACTGCAAGTGGAGAATTCTTAAAGGAGAATGCCAAATTTCCAACACTGTTTCCAGAGAAAAAAGATTCAACTAGTCATAATTGATCCAGGAAGAAATCCTAGAAAGTGGCTTTGGAAAATGACCAAATCTTCTCTTTAACTGAAACTTGGCCAAAACACTTTTAAGACAACATCCTGCAGAGTTTTACAAGAACACAGGGGAAGGTGCAGACAGGAGCGGGTGTGCAGGGTCATGTGCAGATGTGGGAGCATATGCAGGAGAGGGGCATGTGCGGGTGTGGCAGCATGTCAGGTATAGATGCATATATGGGTTTGTGAGCATATATGTGCATGAATGTGCCAGGGCATAGGTATGCATGGGGGAGGGTTTGTGCATAGGTGTGTGGAGGGGGCATGTGCACCACACAAGGGTATGTGTATACACTCAAGAGAGTAAGTAAGTGTGTGTATGCAAATGGATGAGTGTGCACGTATTTGTGCTGTGTGGGCAAGGGGTTGTGCGAGACTTTTCATGAAGGGTAAGTAGACAAATTTTTTTGCATATTTACTTAAGCCAGTCTTTTTTGCAATAACCTAGTTATTAAGTTATGACTTAAGGAGCCTGGCTCACTGGTTTCTGATACCAAGCTACATCCAGTCTAACATACAATTGGTATATTACCTTCTTTTTAAAATTTCAAGCCAATGGAGGAGTGGGACATGACAAGAAATCAATCCATTCTTCCGAATGTGGACATAAAAATGTGGAAAGTTGGCTTGAAATGGACAGAAACATTTACAGGCAATAAAGGCAATTTCTCGTGTTTCTACCATTAGAAAGGAATAAATAACCTTGTGCTACTTCTACACCTTTACAATCGTGTTGACATGTATAAAGGCTCCACTGGCTTCCGTGTTTGATTTGCTATGTTTGCCTTTCAATGAACACAGCACAGTATCATTGAAATTATGCACATACCTTACAGTCAGGCCAATTGTATTGTTCAAATACAGATTCATAATCCTCAACTGCACCATCTGTGATCAGCATGATGGCTTGGTTACACAGGCTGCCTTGTCCTGTCTCATTAAACTAACAAAGAATATAGATTTCAGTTGCAGCATCAAGAAAAGAGTCAAAGATCAACAATGGATACACAATTTTAAACAGAAACATTGTTTCCATTGAAGAATAAACAATTTCAGAATAACTGTGCGATAGCAAGCTTTCCTGCTCCCTTAATGCTGCCTGGCCTGCTGTGTTCCTCCAGCTCCACACTTTGTTATCTACTTCTGAATAACTGTACCGTGTAAATTAATTCTGGGTCAGGAAAACAGTAGTCATTCTAATTAGTTGTACAGCTTAGAAGTAGCAGACATCATATCAGTAATTTATCACAGAGTCAGTTGTCAATGTTAAAGGAAAATATCATATTAACGTTGTACATGTCGTGCTAAAGGGCAGATGTAATAGATTTTCATGGAGGGAATGATATGGAGTTTCCACCCTGGCTTAGCAACTACAAAATGGTTGTTTGATATATGGGGCAGGCTTGTGATTGTGTTACATGTTATTTTGTAACTCCCAGCATAGGAGTTTTGCTTGGATTCCTCCAAAATCTCAAACAAAGACATTACCTGGAAGGAGGTGAGTGGAGTCCGATTATGACTGCACCGGGATATCACCCTAGCCCCACAAGGGTTAGCAGGGCAAAGTGGACTTGGAACTTGGTAAGATTCGTTCTGTGCAGGTGAGGAAGAGAGATGGCACTCACGTATTTGGGCACCGAACAGGAGTGTTATCCTATATTCTCCACATCATGGGGACAGAAGAGTAAAGGCACAAGTGTCAATCGCAACAGAGCAGCCGCTTGTCCAGGAGAAATGCTCCAACTATCATCAGGGCAGGACAGTCATATTTTCCATGCAGTGAAAAGGAGGGGCAACCCACTCTACATGAATGGTGAGATTTCTGGGCATCAAGAGGGCACGGGAGGGGAAAGAGGGAGAGGAAAGCCATTCCCTCTACACATGATCTACTCCCATGGAGCTATCTTGAGGTGACTGGGGTTGAGCATCTCAAGAGACTATGACTATCCAGGTAGATGGTTACAGAGATCCAAAGTTTCTTCATTGAAGAATTTGCACCGCACAGCACTAGTTGTCAAGTCCAACCAAGGGCCTTCAAAGTGCGGTGTTGAACTTCTTCCTTTCTAGTTCCTTCCAAGGATCAACTGCAAACCTTTGCGGCTTCCTGCAAATGGCTGCACACCACAGACTCTTGCTAAATGCTGATGGCTGTCTTTGCCAGAACATTCACTGCAGGACAGTCAAAGTTCCTTGAGCGAAGTTGATTTCTCAGCCATTACAGGATCCTGCCTCCCCTCCAATTGTACAGCATCATTCATTGTATCCATGTGACCATCAAGGCACCTATGGATTGGAAAGTGAGATTCATCAACAGTAAGGGCTTGTGCTCCTTCAATCCAAAATGTCTGTGAGCACAAGAATCAATTCCGCTACATGTGCTCGCTTTCTTTGCGGTTGCCATGAATCCTTCATTCTTTACTAGTCCAAAATGTCTCAAGAATTGCCCTCAAACTCCAAAACTGTGGATGGATACCAGGGCCATGGGATATCCCTTGAAGATATGGCAAAGCATCACTCTACATACATCCCAGACAGAGGTACGTAGGCAATATAACTAATGCCACCTGCTCAACTGGCAAAACATCAAACAGGATCTGGCTTCTGAAGATGAAGTCTGGATGAGATGGTATTGCGGTTCAACACCCTCCTGCCAGAATCTTTTGGGACTGTTGTGGTCTGATGCACTCTACAGAACATGGCCATGCAGAGAACAGTGAATATTGAACATAGTAACGTCTTGGAGGAGATCATTATTGAGGGCAGAGCATGAGCAGGTGATGAGAAAGGAGGAAGACTTAGTGATAGAGAGAGATGAAGTTGGACTGAGAGTCACCACAAGGTGAATTCCACCTGCCACCATCCAGAAACGGACTTCCTTCCTCACACATGGCCTCCAACATTAGACCCAGCTCAGTATCAATGCAATGGGGAGAAGCACTCCAGTGACTTTCCTGGAACATCACTGGTGCTTTTATAACTTTAGCATAATCAGCAGATTTCTCCCTTAGGACAATCAGCAACCTCAGTGATAACTGCTGTGGGGAGTCTAAATCAGTCTCGCACACTATCCAATCCACTTCTGTTCTTGTCAACAGTGGCTCTAAATGGGCAGGAAGCTTATCTCCATTGGAATTAAGATTCACCTTATGGAAAATCTTGACTTTAATTCCCCAACTCCAATAGATAGGCTTCTAATATGACAGACTCAGCTCCAGTTTTCTGTCTCTGTGGCAAAAATTCAGCCCTGGAATTAAAAAGTACATCAAAAGCCACAACAAGCACAATAAAATTTATATAGTTACAAAGGATAATTGTGCTTATGTTTCATTTGAGGATACTGTCCTTCAGTGTAATGGTGGTTCAGGATGGTACGGGGTTCCTCATAGAATGGGTTGATTTCAGACAGTGGGAAGCATGATCCATAAACATTTCTTCAGGAAGCACTGGCTTTTTACACTGAGTGGATCTGTACAAATTGTTAACTTCAGTGTGCTGCGTCTGTCACGTCCTGTGTCTCTTGTTCCATTTGAATCCCTTCCTCTGTTTCTGCTGCTTCATTTCTTTCAGATCTTCCATTTTGAAAAGATTCAATGAATGTTACGAAGAAACACCAATGAAATGAGTGAAGCTGACTGGGTGGCTAGATATTATAGAATGGAGTAAAGAAATGGCTTCTCCAATACAAATTAAAACTAAGTAAACATTAGTCACAACATCTAAAGAAGGCAAAAAATCTAACAAAGCACAGAACATAGTATCTTACTTTGCTATGTTGATTATAACATGGATATTAAGAGTTTCCTATGTGCACTGCACTGGTAGGTCTACCTTTGTTCTAGTTTTTTTATACCGTACCAAAAACCCATTATATATGATGGCACAATGGTCCACAATTTCATAAACATGTCCCTCAAACTCATTCAATTGCATACAATAGGAAAACAAGCACTTGCCTCAAGTTCCAAATATTCTACCCCTTTTGTTACAACTGTACCTGTGCAATTAGTACAAAAATCATAATTTCAAACCCTTTGTGCAGAATTTCCCCAAATGCACCATTGGAAATGAGGATAACAAGTATCTAAACGTATGAACATCATAGGGTGGGCTGCCTGAGAACATTAGAAAACAAAGCACCTAAGAACACCATTCAGCATTTTAAACTTTCCAGACTTATAAACTTTGCACCATCACTGACTGTTCCCAAATCGGCAAGTATCAAAGTGAAAGCTTTCTAATTCACATTATGCAGAGACCCAACAGAACACAACTGCCCATTAATCCGAGTCAGTTATTGAAAAGAGCACCAAAAATACGCAAACCTTATTCAAGATTATGAAGGCTTCGATGAGCGCCTTAGTTACAACTCCTGTTCCTTTGGCATTAAGTTTATCAACCAGCAGCTTGAAATGCTGAAGAGGAAAATAAAGCAACAGAAAAAGCAAATATTCAATATAACATGGCAACTTCTGAAAAACATCATTAATATTTTCTATAATAGGACCTCAGCAGCTTAGTAAGTTCAGCTAATGATTAGCTGAACCATACACAACAGTGCAAATCTCCTATAGCACCATGTTCATGGTGTCAGCAATTGTCATGCAATATTGTCACAGGCAAATTTACAAATGTTGACCTTTTTAAGACGTCTCCTTTAACTTAAAATGAAACAGAACCTTCCATGAAGGGAGTTGGTGAGGACATATGTAATACCTCTGCATGGAAACAGGACTATGATGTTTGGATGCCAAGAGGGTGAAACTCAAACAGAAGCATATTGACATCAAGTGACAGTTTTCACACTTTCTACAATGACGCATGATGTATTAGGCAGTATGTGAAAAGGTTAACTGGTATCACAAGATGAGCTCTGCCCATCAAGAGATAACCAAGTGTTCCTGGGAGAGCCTAACCAGTGTATGGCCACATTCCAGTTGCTTTTAAGTTGTGCAGCAGAATGTTTCAGTAGCAGTAATGTGTACTTACTCTTAAGTTTAGGTTGATGTCTCATAGGAGCTTAGAGTAATAACTTAGAATTAGTGTAATGCTCAATAAAACTATTCTGTTTATCAAAACAGAACTTATCCTCTGCTGAAGACTTCAAGTGGGCATCCTTCCCCACTCAATATCAGTAATTTAGACTAATATCAAGTAGTAGATTTAGTGGCAGTGAATCTACACAAAGTATCCCAGATGGTTCAGGTGGATATTATAACCACATATTATAGCAACTTACAATAAAAAGGGCCTTTTTTGAGATACAGACAGAGACAGACAGGCAAATACTGCTGTGGAGAAGCAGGAGGCCTGTAAGAATTTGTTTACTGTTCAAAAGGAAGGAAACAGAACAAATTGGATTTTTGGAGACTGAAGAAATAGGGTCTCAGTGAGGTAGACCTCACTGGTGGAAGTGGGATCTGACAGTCTCAGGCTGAGTGGAATGATTTTTGTCGTACAGTGAAAGTTTCAAATTAAAACAGTGGGAAGAACTAAGCCTGCTGGAGAGCTGGAAGTAACATTGGACTTGATCTTTTAATATTACACCTCTGCCAAAAGTGCTGTGTTTAGAGAAAGGATTGTACAACAAATCTTGATTGCATTTGTTCGTGTGAAAACACTTTTCTTCAGTTCAGTGTATTATTTGCCTGTTAATTAATGTTTGTTCATATTGACTTTAGCTTGTGAATTATACTGTAACAGAGACCTGGCTGGAAGCAGGGCAGGAGTGAGTGTTAAATATTCCTAGATATAAGGTGTTCAGGAAAGATGAGAAAGTAAGAAAAAGAGGAGGAATGGAAGCACTGTTGAAGGATAGCATTGCAGTGCTGGAGAAAGGGAGTGTCCCAGGGAATTCTAGATGGTGTGGAAGATAAGGTATAAAAAGGACCAAATAGATTTCTCAGTGTAGCCTTTGGGCCACCAATTAATGGGAAGGATAGGGGCAGTACGGTGGCTTAGTGGTTAGCGCTGCTGTCTCACAGCGCCAGTTAGATCCCACCCTCAGGCGTATAGAGTTTGCACATTCTCCCTATGTCTGCATGGGTGCTCTGGTTTCCTCTCACAGAGATATGCAGGTTAAGTGGATTGGCCATGCTAAATTGCCCATAGTGTTCAGGGATGTGTAGATTAAGTGGGTTAAAGGGGGATGGGTCTGGGTGGGATGCTCTGAGGGTCGGTGTGGACCTGTTGGGCCAAAGGGCCTGTTTCCACACTGTAGGGATTCTATGATTCTACACGCAGGAACAAATCTGAAGAGAAATTACAGAAACATGTAAATATTATAAAATGTTTTTAATAGAGGAGTTTAATTATCCAAATATGACATGAGGGAAAAACCTTATCACATAATGGATTATTAGGCTCTGGAATGCACCGCCTGAAAATATAGTGAAGGCAGGTTCAATCAGCTTTGTGGTATTCAAAAGGGCAGAGTTACTGGGAGAAGACAGGGGAATGGCATTGAATATTATGTTCATTCAATTAGTTAGCGTTGGCATTGTGGGTCAAATGATCTTCTTCTGCACCATTACAAATGAGCATATGTGGATTTGCTCTTTCGCCATAGCCTTATACTTTTTCTCATAAAGCATTTAACCAATTCTCTTCTAAATGTCACTCACAAATCTACATGCATCACTATTTCAGGCAGCGCATTCCAGATCACAACATTCTGCTCTGTAAGAAAAATATCTCTTCATTTTACCTTTGGTTCTTCAAGATTTTCAACTTCCCTATTAAATCTCCTCTAAATTTCTCTGCTGCAAGGAGACCACCTCAGCTTCTCCAGTCTTCCCACAAAGCTAAAGTCCATCATCACTGGTGTTAAACTAATAAATCTCTTCAGACTACCCTTTCTTCGACTTCATCATCCTGTTTTATAATGTGGTGCTCAGGTTGAACAAATACTTCAGCCTAACCAGATTTTTAAAAATGTTTTATTTTATTATAACTTCCTTGCTTTTCTACTACATAATTCTTCTCTGGACTTTCTACATTAGCTGAATTATGAACTTTACATCGATCATAAGTCTCAGTATTCTGCCTTATTTTGTCTTCATTGCTATAAATTTTTTACATATGTTCAGCAATCTCAGGAGCTCTGGCTTTGGATGTTCTTCCTCTCTCATTCGTGACAACATATCTACTCTGCCTGAGCAAAGTCCTCTTTGGAGGCATTCTATTGTTCAATTAGTGTTTTGCCTATTCCATGTCCTTTTTGTTTTGTTTTAATTTATTTATAAGTTACAGAATAATTTGAAGCAAAATAGTAGCTATCTGCTGTAATGGAATTTAATATAGTTCACCAAAGACAACTTACTAATGGGCCTTGATATAGTTAACGGGAGGAAAGGTAAATGTTAGTATAGGTTGCAGAACAAATTAAAACACACAGGTTAGCATTTAAGTTAAAGAGCATAAAAACTGTGAAACAGATGTAAAGAATGGCATAGAATTCTGGTAATCAACAACAAGTGAATCCTCAATAAAATTGCAATTATGCAAATCCTGCTGTGAATGCCACCAGGAGACTTTGTTATTGGACACATTGGCAGAAGCCATCTGGACCACCAGGAGATACTGGCTGCACAAAAGCTACTCCAAAACAGGAAAAAAATCCAAATAATTTAACACATCATGTATGTATTTCATTTGAAGTAAGCTAATCTTTGACTCATACGGTCATTATAAAGTATCTTCCATTCCTGGAACTCACTACTATACATACATGTACTACAATGTTTTAAGAACCCTTAATTAGACTGCAGTACACAAATTTGGCCTAGACAGGCCATATATGGTATATATGTAAAACACACAAACTTCTTTCCTACTTTTATCTCACTCCAAAATGCATTATTCCATTTGGGAACCATACAAATCCTAAGTTTATCTTGCATCAGGACTTCCATTATTCTACCAAAGAATATCTGTTTTCTCCACCAGTTCTGAATTAAATTCTAGCTTGTAACTCATTTAACAATATCCTTTAATCCATAAATAATGTTTCAGCAAATGCTGCATGAAATGTTCAACAAAAGATTCACACAGACGAGGTTTAACATTTGTAAAAACGCACTTGACACCCACCTCTCGGTTGTCTCTGTCAGCTTGCACGAGTGTTCCTTCGAAGCAGGGCTCAACATAATGGATGTAATCACTGTACTACCAGAAATACAGAGTAAAACTCACTTAGATAGATACTCACATTTACTCATTCATTATTGATTGGATTCCAAATACTTGTAGGACATGTACAAGGTTTTGGCAGTGCTGGTTGAAGTGATTTTGTAATGAAGAATACGAGTTACATTAGATGCATTCTATAGAGGGTTCATATCAAGTGCTTTATTAAATTTCTTAATTATCATTCATAGTGTTTGCAAATGCTGTTTTTTCATCGGCTTGGCAAAATTCAATGATTGGACCATACTAGCAACATGCTCATCAAGAAACTTGAATTAGTATCTGTTGCTCCTCCATTCATGTCTAAAATTTCACAAGATACAAACCCTCACAGCCAAAGTTTTATGATAAGTATCTACCACATTTTGAGGAACGAGGGTGTAAAACTTGGTGGGGTGGCCAGGGACATTGTGCCTGTCAGCTACCCACCTGTGCAAGAATGTTATTAATGGCTGAGAAGGTGGTGGATGGTTTGCTTCCCGTTTGTCCACATGATGCTTTTCAGCAGCCAAATAACAACTCGTTGAGAACTTTTCCTGGTATTTTATCAGTGAGGAACAATGCCCTACTATGTGATGAAGCTGCTAAGTTTACTTTGGAAGTCTAATCCCTGCCTCTGTTTGAGGCACCCACAGAAAACCTGCTAGCAGAAAGGATTATCCCTATTTCCAATCCCATGATCAACACTCCCCATTTCAACCTAACCAGGCCCTGGAGAATCCAGCCCACTAACCAAATTTTCAGCATTTTTCTCCATTGTTGTTCCTTGTTTAGACTGGCTGCAGTTTCAATAGTGGCCACAACTCCCAATGGCATTGCTGAAACCGATGATGCATCTGCTCTTTGATTAACCAATTCAATAGAACTAAAAGTAAGCCAATGAACCAAACTGAAAAAAATATTTTGTACTACTGGCCGGCAGTTTTGGGAATTAAAGAGGAGAATGGAGAAAGGATGGAACCAACAACAATCATTCTTCAACTCATCCAGCTTATCCTTAGTAGTTCTGTGTAACATCACCACCAAGGGGGTGTATAACTTCATGAAAAGAAATTCTTGCAAAATTTTCATGATCCAATAACTCTATAAAACTATGCAAATTTCACCAAAATGAATACTTGTGTATGCAAACTATAAAATGAAAATGATAGCAGCTTTTTAAGATCTTCCTCCCTCTCAAATGTTTGAACTACCAGTTTAACACACTTTCATGAATAAATTGCCTTCAATATATTAGACCATTTCCTTACAACTTCTTACTGATACTCATTCTCCATCATACGTGTCTCAGTTTAAAGTTCCCAAGGGAAGTCTATTTTGTAGCCTTCAGATATTATCTTAGTCAGTCAATACAATATTCTCCAAAAAATAATGCAGAATTCAGGGGAAGACTGCCTAAGTAGCACTTTGATTTTGTTTAAATTATACGATAAATATCAAGATCTAACTAAAAATTTCTACAATCCAAGTTTAACAGGTTTTTTTCTAAATGATATTTGACTTAATTAGCAGATTCTGAAAATCTGTGCCTTTTAGACAGTTAAGAACATTCACAAGGTTCAGAATTTAGGATGAGTTAATGCTGACTCCATGACTTACACATGCCTGCCACCGAAAAAACAGTACTTCTTGAGCACGCTTTGAGACATGTGAATTTATGCCAGCGTGTTTCTGAGTCAGAAACTGGAGTGATTTCAACACAAGTAATCTACCTCCTCCCACAAAAACACAAACATCAATCTGAATCTTTGTAACTTCAATGTCAATACTCTTTTCACTAGTCTTCGCAGTAACTCTGGCTGCAGTAACTTAGCACATGCAGAATATTTTCAGACGTTAATATTGAAAAGACTTTGGAGTCTCTCATTGTCTTGCACTCATTCTATAAACCCTTGATGGTGAGCAGCTTGCAGTTGCACTTTATCTTGCAAATTCTGAATTTGCATGAATGAACCATGATTGCTGCCAGACAGCTAAAAACCTGCATGTTAATATTGTTGTTGAGTGCTTTTGTGGTGTTCCCTGGGATCCTTGGCCAATACGACATGCAGACATCTGCTTTATGCCTAAAATCTGAGCACACTACTCTCAACTTTCTAGATCCTTGATTACTTTACATAAATTTAGTGGTAATGACCTGGAACTCTCAGCCTAAGAGGATGATAAAAGTAGAAACAACTAATAATTTTGAAAGTAAATTGAATGGGCACTTGAAAGAAATAAACATACAGGGTTATGGAGTTAGAGGGAATGGGACTGACTGGAAAACTCAATTACTCTACAAATGTATCATGTAGATATTCAAAATACCAGGACAACAAACACAACATCAGGCAGTTCGAATTTTGCGCTGTGAAAGAAATGTTGAAATTTTCTTGCCTGTTTTACTTACAGCGATAATATTGACAAAATCATTTTCACCCAATGTGTCCAGGATGGTGTTGATGGTATGTTTGGCTATCGTCATTCTGAGACCTTTCATACTGCCGCTGATGTCGAACAGTATGATAATATCCTTTGGGGAAGTTGCAGCCTGAATATACCTGTACATAAGAGCAAACAAAACGCACAGGAACGAGGTCAGCACACACTTTTTCATCTGTCAGGTCATAATAAAATCTGGCCTAAATTTAAAGATGTAAGCCTTCTGTCTTAACTAGCCATAAAATATCCTAAATGAAATGAACTTAGGACGTCACAACCCAATTCCTGGTGGCATACCACTTAACATATTCTGTATTAATCACAAGGATGGATCATATGGAAAACAAAAATGTTACATTAGGGCAGTCTAAGGGGTCTTTAGTTGGAATCATATTGTTAAGACAGAGTTGGAGATAGCCTAAACTACACTTGACCTGAGAAAGAGTGTTTGATAGTGATATCATATGCAAAGTAAACAAAAATACTTCCCCAATTTTAGCATAATTCAAAATAATGAACATAAAATTGATCAAAATTGTAAAATACAGAAATAAGTGATAGATTTTACTTGTTTGACCTGGACATCTGTGCAGTATAACATTTATAATAGTTCTAAAGTGATGATTTTCAGATACTTGTGATGTAGTTCAATCCAATATTGCAAGTTTAAATTTTAAAAAGTACTTGTAAATACTAAAAGTTTATTTTAATGCAATTCCATTCACTGCATTTCCTACCAAAGGCAAATATATCACTCTACTTTAATGGAACTTATCACCTTTGAACTTGAGGTTTTTAACTTCTCAAAATTATTAGAATCAGTTATCAATGTGCCTAAGAACCAATAGAACTTAGTTAGTATTAAATGAGTGAAGGAGACATGAAAGTTAAATTTCCAAATGGCACAGCAAAAGTAGTGTTGCAACTTGTTCCCCCAAATAATGGATACTTTGTACGTTTTAAAGGAAATGTATTGTACGAAAAGAGAGAATGAACGTTCCCATCCTGCCTGTGATTAGCGGGGAGAAAGGCATCACTAGATATGGGAAGGAATCTTCTTGATCCAAAAGCAACATGTCTAGAGTGGGGGTGGGGGGTGGGGGGTGGTGGGGGAAGGAGAAATTTCACAGGATGCGCATTTAAGATAGAACAACTGATTAACTCCACACAAACTAATGTCAGGAAGGAAGGTGAGAATGCCAGGGAACATTGTGGATTGGTAACAAGAAAGTCACATCTGTGAGAGCGCTGTTCAACAGCTGTACCTACTGAGACAAGAAATTAGAGATCAGCAAGTCATACATGCCATGGAAGTAAAGGTAGGAATGGAACAGGATGAGATACCCAGAGTAAAGGATAAGGTATTGTTGAAGCTGACAGATGAGAAACCAAGATTTCCCCCAAAGTGGATATGACCTTATGAGGCAATCATGATTAGAGATAGTTGGTGACTATGTGGAATCAAAAGGAAAGTGGTGCAGCTCGCAACTGAAGCAAGCCACTGACTGATTCATGCTTTCCAGAATATTTGTTCACAGGAGTAATTGAACCATGTTCACCATTGTAGTGGCATGCATTATGGGGATATTAACTGCTTCCCCAAATAACTCATGAGGAACTATCTACAAACGAATTGTTCATGTGTAGTGGAAGTATAGTGTACACTACCTGGGTCAAAGGCAATTTAGCATTATGGCATACCATTTACAGGTATTTCTGCCATAATGCGTGTTTCATTAACACAAATTGGCTATAACACGATTGATGAATAGTGGATGCTGTTTGGATAACGTGAACTTTCTACTGTACACAATAGCAATTTTCTATAGCGTGAGGCCGCACAAGAATGCAACTATTATGTTATAGGAGAAATACCTGTATTGTGCATGATTCGCAATGGTTTCCTTAATGTTGAACAAGTGGAAGGTGAAGAAATGAGTAATATAATTGTCTTTGTACTATTAAAGCTTAACATTTACAAACAATACCATGGTAGAACGCGTATCCTCTTCAGGTCTACCTGCGTACTAATTTGCTAGGGCCCCAGCAACCTCTTCCCTTCCCTCCTGTAACAGCCTAGCACACATCCTGTCAGGCCTGGGGATTATGGTAGACAAACAGGAGGCTGGAAGAACACAGCAAGCCGGGCAGCATCTGGAGGAAAGGAGAGGTCAACATTTTGGGTAATAACTTTCTTCAGGACTGGATTGATACATTGGGGATTTATGCATGTGTATGCCTGCTAAAACACAAAATACTTCCTCTTTATTAACCTTAACATGTTCTAGAACATCGCTATCTCAAACAAAATCCCTGGCAATGAGTCTTTCTCCTTTGTGAATACTGAAGAGAAATATAAATTTAAGACCTCACCCACATCTTCTTGCTCCACTCACAGTTTGTCCATTGGTCTCTAATAGGTCCCACTCTTTCCCTGGTAATCCTCTTAATACTTTAAAATGCCTTAGAGTTTTTCTAAATCCTATCTGCCAAAGATATTTTGTGGGCCCTCTTTGCAATCTTAATTTCTTGTTTAAGCAACCCCTACACTTTCTATACTTTTCAAAGACTTCTCCTTAATGCATTGTACCCAACATATGCTTGTTTATTTTTCTTTATCAAACTCGCTTGATATTCCATGGCATTCAAGGTTCCCTACCCTTGCCTTTTATTCTTAGAGGAACCCACTGGCCCTGAATTTTCATTGTACTACTTTTAAAAGTCTCCTACTTTCCAAATGCAGATTTACCTGCAAGTAGTTATTCCCAGTCTGTTTGCCAGATCCTGTCTAATGATTTGAAATTAGCACTTCCCCAGTGTAGACATTTAACTTCTACACTATCCTTATCCCTTTCCATAATGACTTTGAAATTTACAGAATTATGGTCACTATCCCTAACTTGAACCACTTTACTGGCTTCATTCCCAAGGATTAGATCCAGCACTACCTCATCTCCAGTAGGACCACCTACATACATACTGGCACGGAAAGTTCTGGATGCACTTTAAAAATTTCACCCTGCCTAATCCTTTCACATTAAGGCAATCCCAGGTAGTATTAGCAAAGTTGAAATCCCCTACAACCATAACCCTGTTTCACACACCTTTCTGTGATTTGCCCACACATCTGCTCCTCTAACATCCTCTGATTGTTGGAAGGCCTGTAGTATAATCCCAGCAATCACCCCTTTTTTATTTTAATTCTACCCAGGTGGTCTCATTTGAAGACCCTTCTAGACATCCTCCTTCATTACTGCAATCATGCATCACTCCCACCTCTCTTACGTCTCCCCTATCCTGCCTGATACTTCTATATCCTTGAATGCTGAGCTGCCAGCCCCTATCTTTCCTTCAACCATGTTTCAGTGATTGCAACACTATCATATTCCCATGTGCTGATCAATGCTATCAGTTCATCAACCTTATCAACCAAGCTTGTTTCATTAAAATAGATACACTTTAGCTTTTTGAGTACCTTATCATGCCCATGTCCTGGTTTTCCTTCTACATCTGATTGGACCTAGCTCCTGACTTTACATCTAGTCTGCATCCCATTCCCCTGCCAAATTAATTTAAAACATCCACAGTAGTTTGAGAAAAACCAAAGAATATTGGACCCATTCCAGTTTGGGTCAACCCATTCATCTTTACATGTTTCACCTAGCCCAGAACGTGTCTCAATGATCTAAAAGTCTAAAGCCCTCCCTCTTAGATCATTCTTTTAGCCACAAGTTCATCGGACCTGTCTTCCTATTCTTATACTCAATAGCACATGGCACTGGAAATAATCCAGAGGTTACAACCAAAGTAGTCCTCCTCTTTAATCTGCTACGAAACTCCTGTTGTTGGGCTTCATTTATTTGTTTACCCATGCTGTTGGTACCGACATGCACCATGACTGCTGGCTGTTCACCCTCCCCTTCAGTATACTCTACTACTGCTCTGAGACATCCCTGACCCTAGCACCACTGAGGAAACATGCCATTCAAGAGTCTCATTTGATACCATAGAATCTCCACCTGTCAGTTCCCCTCACAATTGAGTCCCCTATCACTAAAGCTCTGCCAGTCTTTTTCCTTCCCTACTGTCCAGTCGAGCCAACTGTTGTGCCACTCATTGGCTGTTGCCACTACCCCCACACCCTTCACCCGAGAGATCATCCCTTCTCCCAACAGTATCCAACAAAAGAACTGTGGATGCTGTAAATCAGAAACAAAAACAGAAATGGCTGGAAAATCTCAGTAGGTCTGGCAGCATCTGTGAAGAGAAATCAGAGTTAACGTTTCAGGTCGAGAGAGTCACTCGACTCATGAACCGATTTCTCTCCACATAATATGCCACATTGCTGAGCTTTTCCAGCCATTTCTGTTTTTGTATCCAACATGTTATATCTATTTGAGAGGGGAATGGCTACAAGGGACTCTTGCACTGCCTGCCCACACTTGTCATCTTCCTAGTTGTCACCCAACACTTTTCTGCCTGTGTAGTTCATACAGTCAAACAGGAGCTGCAGCTAAACACACTTCCTGCATACATAGCTCCCATGGTCACTGGAAGTGACTCTGATTTCCCACACATTGCAGGAGAGGCATGAAAGTTGACTTTTTGGGTCGGGCCCTTCTTCAGAAATGGGGAGGGGGAAGGGAGTTGAGAAATAAATAGAGACAGGAGGGGTGGGGCTGGGGAAGGTAAGTGGGATGGTGATAGGTGACCAATCCCCACCACTCCGTAC